GAGGTGGGTTAAAGGGCACGACAGGAGTAAAGGTAATCGCATTGCCGACTCTTTAGCCAAGGAAGCCGCTGGACTTATAATTTTAGGACCCAGCGGCACCTACGGTCTGATGACAATTGCGGAACTAGTCAAACGTCACACCCATGCTCAATCCCTAAAGAGATGGGATGAAGTCAAAGGATATAATCTTGCCAGGATCACCCTGAGAAGCTGGCGCCAAAGAAGTATCTGGCGATGACCAGGAAAAATCTACGCTTCTGACTGGCCACTGTCAACTAAGCAAACAGCTCCATAATATGGGGCTAGTGGACACACCTCTATGCAGGATGTGTGAATAGGAAGATGAGACTGTCAGGCATGTCCTATCCGAGTGTCCGGAGTTATCGTCACTAAGAGAGTGTGTGTTCGGCGAGTCTTGGCATACACCTGCCGATGTAAAGGGAGTGTCTTCCAGTGACCTGTCCACCTTCCTGGAAAGGATAGAATGGACGATAGCCTAGGAGGACAACTCTTCGGGAGGATGTACAATGGGTCACATGTGGCCTAAGTGCTGTAGGCTTACACTCACCCTCTCTACTCTACAGATACAGAAGTAATTTCTTCATGTACTGATTTCGAAACACATGATGTTACCTTATTTCCGGGATAATAAAAAAAATACTTTTGTCATTTGCTGGTTCCTCACTCATTCTTAGAGTATCAGAATACTTTCGTCGCTTCAAAACAGTCCACAGTTGCGAATAAGGTACCTGACCGGCAAATCCTTTTTGAAAAATTACAAGGGTACACATCCAACAATACATCTTTTCATTAGTATGTTCAGCATTGAGGGTCTCATCCTATATCCTCCTATATCCATTGTGGGAGATGAGACATGAATAATTTATTGGTAATAACCCACAGGCCAACTAGTTAATGATCACAGTCGGAGGATTAATCAAATATCCTCCAAAAATGAGAAAAAAACTGAGAGAAAATTGAGCTTCATTCTATGAATTACTTACATTGAGTCGCAGTGCAGTGAGGGGAATTAGAGTAACTCTGCCGCTTGAGGTGGTGGTAAGAGTTCTCCTGAATGACGCCTCATCTTGAGGTGTGTGTGCCGAAAGGATGCATCTTAGCTATCTCAATGTAACCAACAGAATCTTCGAAATACCTGGCTTCGCAAAGCTTTTTCATGGTAATGCGGGGCTCTGCCGCGTTGGACCTCCCTCTTTCTTTAGCTAATGAGACCCTTTATGGATTTTGAAGTAACCAAATAATCGGTACTTGAGTCTGCAGAGGAGATGGACGTTGACTAAACGACCCCTTAGCAGATCAAGCAACGCTTACGCTCAAATAACGAACCCTGTGTGGCTGAATGGTCATTAAGGTGGAAATCTTCTACTTTGAACATCCTCCATATCGACCATTCAACTGATATCTCTTTAGTATTCGATTATACAGCGCATTTCTTTAATGTACCCCTCCTTTTATTTTTTGAACGTGTCAAAAATTGAAATATGGAATAATGAAATTAATGCATGAATACTTTATTTTGAAGTGAAATTGACATATCAAACTTTCAAAATGGCGACTGGGCGCCATCTGGGAAAAAATGAATGGAAAGAGGGGGTCTTGTGACACATTATTTTGAAGCTCCTGACTTCACAACTCTAGAATATGAAGTCAATATCTTCACCTACTACAAAATTGCGGAATATTTAATAATTTCCTGAAGACCAACACATTAATATCGTTATTTCTAGAAATATTCCTTTTTTATCTGCCATATGGCAATTCCAACAACCCGATTAGGTTTGTTAAATTATTTTTTGTTTAAAAAAATGACAAATACTTCACAACTCTAGAATATGAAGTCAATATCTTCACTTCCTACAAAATGACGGAACATTTAATAATTTCCTGAAGACAAACACGTTAATATCGATATTTCTAGAAATATTCCTTTTTATCTGCCATATGGCAATTCTAACAACCCTATAAGGTTTGTTAAGTTATTTTTGTTTATAAAAACGTCAAAAATGTCAGTACGAAAATGAACATCATTGTTCAGTTAGAATATTCTCATTTAGTTTTCGGTTTTACTTAGTAAAAAGGTACCACGTTAACAGTCTCTAAAATGGTCAATTCTCGTCCATTGGAAGAAAAAATTTAAGGGATTTTTATTTACGGTGCGTTACTTTCACGATACCGAAGGGATTTTCAATGAACGTTTTCCGAATCGTCCTATCTGTAGAAAATATTTGAGGGAACTTGTATCCAAATTCACAACTACCGGTAGTGTACATAACAAAAAGCTTCCAGGTCATCCGTCCATTCCGGAAGAACAGCAATTGCAAATAATTGGTGTGATGGTAGTAAATCCTGAACAGTCTACTTATTCCGTCGCGGATGTTTGTGAGGTGTCTCCTTCTAATGTGTGGAGACTTTTGAAGAGGAATAAGTATCTACCACACAAAATTAGAAGAATAGAATTCTGCGAAATCATGACGGAAACCATTGCAAGGCATCCTACCTATCTCCACAATATTTGTTTTAGTGACGAATGCACATTTTTTTAAACCGCAATGTTCACAGATAGAATTGCCTTCATTGGAGTGACACCACCATTCATGTTTTCCGGAAAACACATATCCAATATCCCTAAAAAAATTAACATTTGGACAGGAATATTGGGAAACCATATTGTAGGACCTATGTTTATTGATCAAAATTCAACAGGGAAACTGTAGTTGAGTATGCTGGAAACTACTGTTGATCTTCTCATCACTGAAATCGTCCAAGCGAATCCGAATGAATTCGATATGGATATTGTATTCCAATAAGATGGAGCACCACCATATTACTCCAGACAAGTAAGAAACTATTTGGATACTACTTTTCCCGGTCGTTGGATTGGCTGTCGAGGTCCTATAGAATGGCCAGCCCGCTCGCCATATTTGACACCTTTGGACTTTTTTATGAGGCTATTTGAAACAAAAGGTGTAAGAAACTGAACCTGCCTCAATATTGGATATCCGGCAGAGAATAATAAATATTTGTAGAGATATTGACGTTACTGTGTTCGAAAATGTTCGGCGTGAAATATCGGATAGGCTGTTCATAATCCTTCAAGCTTATTACCTCATATTATGTAGTTCCGCCATTTTGTAGTAGTTGAAGATATTGACATTATATTCTAGGGTTGTGAAGCATTTGTCAGGAGCTTCCAAAAGATGTGTCACAAAACCCCCTTTCCATTTAATTTTTTTTCCAGATGGCGCCCAGTCGCCATCTTGATATCAATATCATCCAATATCATCCACTCATCTGATGAGTGTATTTTGTCTCTTAACGGTCATGCTAATCGGCAAAATTGCTGCTACTGGTCAACGGAAAATCCTCAGCGGATGAAAGAAGAATGCACGCAATACTCTCAAAAAGGTTAATGTTTGGACAGGGATTGTAGGAAACCATTTCATTGGTCCCTTTTTCATTGAGGGCAACTTGAATGGCGATAATTATTTGGCACTACTTCAAAATGATGTCACTCCAAGTTTAGCAAATTTATATCCTGATCTAGGAAACCCTCAAGTTCCAGTGAATACAATATGGTTTCAGCAGGATGGAGCACCACCACATTACCAAGTTAATGTCCAGCAATACCTCGATGCAATATTTCCCAATCGGTGGATAGGGGGGCGAGGATCGATTGAATGGCCAGCGTGATCACCTGATCTTTCATCATTAGATTTCTTTTTATGGGGATATGTAAAGAGCAATGTGTACAAAACTAAACCTTCAGATTTGAATGACCTAAGAGAACGAATAACGCTTGCGATTAGGTCGGGCACGCTTGATATGTCAAATAATGTTAGAAGACAGTTTTATTCGAGATTAGGATGTTGCCAAGACGTTCGCTGTGAAGGTTTTGAACATCTACTTCGTTAACATCCATAGTTCTTTTTCGTATTCTACATTTCATTACGTTTTGCATTACATTTTAGTATTTGACTGCATTTTATCGAATTACGTTAGTCCCATGATTTTAATTTATTCTATCTTAATTGTTGCAATAAACTTGAAAGCGATAACATTTTTGAATAGAAAGAGACCTTTCAAACGATATATCACAAACCTATACCCATTTAAAAAATGAGGGTTTACTGTCATTCGAAGGGGGTTGAAGGTAGGGGTGGCATTTTTACGTTGAAGATTGTCAAATTGTAATTTACATTCGACGTGTTTCGCGATTTTTTTTTAAATATGTACTAAATATGTACAGTAAGCGAAATAATGAATTTATTCCATTTGGCTTTTACACACTGTATAAGGACAAATATCAATATTGTTACGTTTTCCTCGTGGGTTCGTCAATAACTGACTACACTGTACATTTAAATTCAACTTCGTTTCGCTACTATACTGCCAATACAACATAAAATCTTCAAATAAAATTCAGACTAATTCTCAAATGTTTATCGCTTTATTAGCTCACTTCTTAACGCACTTTCAACAAGACAAACCCAATCTGCCTGTTGGTAGTGCTTATATATATGCCAATGGAAGTTATATTTTCACTACGACGCGAACCTAGAACGATCGAGAAACACAAGTAGAGTTGAACGCGACTTTGGCCAAGTCACAGTCGATTAACGAAGACCAGCGGCGACTGACGATATTTTTTTTCAGGGGATATTTTACAACAATATCATGAAATTTGGGGCGACAATTAAAACACGTTATACTGTTATTAGAGATGCCTTTCTTTCTGCATAAGAATATGAATTTATGAACTGAAATTTTATGTTTTCTAACGAACTAATCGAGAAAATATTCAATATGAATTTTTATATAAGAAATAATGAAAAATATAAGTGAAGAATACGAGTTGTGAATAGGGTTCAAAGTTTACTGCAAAACGTTTCGGTTTCACAATTTCGGATTCTTTAAAATGGAGTTGTAACTTTTATGTTTATTAAAAGTTCTAAAGGTTTCTTTAAAATGTAAGTAAATACCTGCATGTATTCTGCACATTCCGAAAGTAATGTCAAGCTGCAGTTGGAATTGCTGGTGACATTAGGAGAGATTTTTCCATCTTCACCTGAAACGTATATTAAAATATTCTTCAAAACATATACATGTATTTCTGATGACATTGAAATATTTAATAAAGTAATAATTTACACAAATACATAAATTGATTCAAGAATCGGAAAGTCCCTACTCATAAACGATTGATAAAAATTGAAAAATGAAAAACTATTTGTATATTCAAATGTTCAATAATAATGATAAACTTCACCTCCTTCACAATATTTTTTAATCTTTTCTGAATTTGATAAACCTTGTGGATATATTTCTGTTATATTGAAATCGGAAAGAGCCTATCATTTCATTTATTATTTTGTGTAGTTTTCACAGGATTTAAATCTGTTTCAATTTTCATGAACGTTTTGTATACATATTGAAAGTAGGCATAAAGCGAACATGTTCAAGAGTAACAGAAACCTTAAACTGAAGGCAGTGTTGCAAAGTCAAGCTTCATGAATCCTCATACATCTCATGTACAAAGTTTAAATGTCTGTCGATCTCATAGATAACATCTTTGTAAAAGAAGTCGTCATGTTTACTTCGTACTTGTTGACATCTGAGTTCAAACCTTGCTTTCGTGATTCAGTCGAGTACTACTGTTGTGATCTAGGCCACACAATGAAAAAAGGTGGTAATGTGAAAAGTGTTACATCACGAATGCAAGACTTTTGGCTCTACGCTCTTGTATTGTCTCTAAAGGAGAAAATGTATGTTACAAACCCGGATTTACTAATCAAGCCACTACTCTGCTGGTAGTGGAAATATTCGCGACGCGATGGTAGTTATCATCGGTTAAGGCGCTCGACAGAGGAGTTGAAAAGGCTGATGAGAATTATAGGCGTTGTTCGAGGAATATTGTATGTGTATGTGTAACAGTTGGGCTGAAAAGTACGTAAGCTAACACAAAAAATTTGATTTTATTATAAAATATAGTTGCCTTCGAAGGTGTTACAACGATTATAGCGGTAATACATCTTTTCAATGTGATTTTTATAGTACGATTTGCCTTTAGTCTGAAAATAGAAGTCTGACGTATATGAAAGTTATTGCGACTTCTTGTATTGTATTCATGATATTCAAAGTTATACTTTAATTTGTCACTTAGATATACAGGAACATCACCAGTTTTAATTTTAAAAATAAATATTAATGCTAAATAACGAAAGTAAGTGTCGATCATACAAAGCTACTAGATAAACTGCATTCTCACGGATTGAGGGGTGTTTCTCAAGATTGGATAGCATCATTTTTGAGAAATCGTATGTAATATGTGAGCATAAAGTATAAAAATCATAATAAAGTAGAAAATGTATCATCTTCAAACTCAGAAGTCAATATAGGTTTCCCGCAAGGCTCTATTTTAGGCCCTATACTATTTTTTTTCCTACATTAATAAAATCGGTACAATATTTCCTAGGATACAATTTACATTATATGCTGATAATATATCATTGATTATTTCTGACAAATCTAACAATATCTTACAAAATGAATGCGAATCTATATAAGAGTCTTTGATGAAGTGGTTTTGGACAAATAAATTATCTTTCAATCCAGACAAAACAACTATCGTAAAATTTCAGACAGCCCAACAACACAATGAGGACTTCAAAACTGAACTACCTAGTCAAGAAATTGTAACCAGTGATACTGTGAAATTCCTAGGTATTGAACTAGGCAAAAATCTTTAATTGAAAACACATTGCGAATCATTAATATCTAACCTTAATTTATTCTATTACTTGATCTATAAGTTGAAGACTATTCTAACTCATGAACAATTAATGAACTTCTACCATGCACAGGTGGAATCTCATTTGACATATAGGATTCATTTCTGGGGCAACTCCATACATAGGAACACATTTATTGCACAAAAAAGAATCGCAAGGTGCTTAGCAAGAAAATCAAAACAACAAACACTCTTGCAGAGATAAGTGAACATTTTAACTCTGACTGAATTATTTATTTTTGAGATATGTTTATTTGTCTATAGAAATAGGAAAGGAATCCCAAAGAATTACAACACACATAACATAAATACAAGACAAAAGAACCAATTGCGTATACCTTTTGCCAGATTGAATATTACCAGTTTTTCGCCAAACTGTATTGTGCCAAGGTTATTTAACAAATTACCTGAGTCAGTAACAAATTGTAATAGGGAAATAGAGTTGAAAAAAGAACTCAAAATATTTTTATTGGACAAAGTTTTTTATACTATGACCGAATATTTGTGTACGTAATTTACTTATTTGTAATATACACTCATTAGTTTGTAAGTTTTATAGTTCTGTAGTATCTGTGACTATCCCTATACAATGTATGTATGTGTATGTGTATGTATGTAGGTTTCTATAACTGCAAACGCAGTTGAGTTACCTCTAGGAATATTTCTAAAAACTTAGGACTATAACCTCGACAGTTCTTCAAGATTCACACGACACGTATTGGAAATTCTGAAACGAGGGCACAGCAATGTCAAAATGATATATTCTAATAGAACACTGTCGAACAAAAGAAAAACAAAATGACCTTGTGCGAATCTTTAGTGTTGTCACATGCAAATTTTGCGGGCGTAGTATATGGTCCCAATCTCCTTCAAGCTGACAAGAATAGATTGCAAAAGCTACAGAATTCATGTGTGAGGCTGACAACTGGAACAAAAAGACGCGACCATATATCACACCATTTGAAGGATAATGGATGGCTAAATATGGAGTCGCCACGCATTCTCCATTCTACTGCCTTGTTTCATAAAATAATCAATGACAAGAAACCAAGTTATCTTTATAGAAAAATCAGTTACAGGACGGAAGTACACAACCTCAATCTTCGATTCCGAAATCAGCTTACCACACCAAACCATAAAACCTCTCAATTCAGAGGCTCTTTTTCATTTTTTCTACCCTGACTATACAACCGGTTACCGAATGGATACATGCATATTTCTTCTGGTGTGCTGAAAAAGATACTTAAGAGAGATATTTTACTGGATATTTTCACTATATCTTGAGACATGTCAAGTAGGCATTTTAATATCTATATCATATCTTGTATACCATACAGCTATAAATTGTTATTTATTTATTCTTACTCAATAATTATAATCTTCTTTATATTCATGCATAATTATTATTTTTGAAATTAAATTGTAAATAGGAATCAGGTTGGATGGAAGAGCAAGTTTTGTCCATGTGTGAACATGGGCGAAAAATGAATCCTGCCATTTGATAAGAGCTATGTATGTACTGATTACTTAT